GGCTATGACAACGTCTTTATAGCAAAATAATTGCGCAGCCAAATGACAATGACAACGTCTTTACAGCAAAATAGTTATGCAGCCAAATGGCTGTGACATCGTTTTCAAAGCCTAAAAATGTTGTCCCACTTTTGCTGTCACAACTTTATCAGAACGTCACAATGACGTTGTGGCAGTAGCTGTGGTAGACAAAAATGCTGCAGTTTAAGTTGCGACAATGTTATCGCAGATGTTTTAAAGCTTCATGTGCTACTTGGGTTGAACAACAAGTTTCTTCCCAGTAAATTTGACGCAAACATCTCTCGATTGAGTGAGGAAGCGTGTGCGGGAAAAGTCAGGAGATGAAGGAAGGTGAGATAAGCGGAGACAGACGGAGTCACACGGAAAGCAGACGTATTAAATGGAATTAAACAATTAAGCATTTAATCAAATTAGCACGGATACGCCCGGAAGAACGCGTTGGTTGCTCATATGGAACGCCGGTGTTCCGCCGCACGACTCATTTTGTTTTTCCTCTCTCTAGGGGACAATATGGTGAGTGGCATGCTTTGGGGTATTACTTCTCCTACCATATCTTGCCGCCCGACTCGCTCACTTGAATTCTGAGAATCGGTCGAGCATCGTCTCGTTAATTATTTAAAGCCACATTCGAGATAAACTCGACTACTGTTCTTCGGTTTACAGTAGCATGACAGAAAAATTTACGATCACGACGTGAGAAAACGCGACAAGTTTTTATGATAATAAAAAAAAGATTAATTGTATATCGATAATAAAAAAAAGGTTAATTGTTATCAAAATTAATTGTATATCAAAAGACAACCGTGTTTATTTCATTGTTGCAGCTCTAGTCAAGTATTTTTGCAATTTGGCAAGCAGTTTTTGGTTAAGTGTAATGAGTTTCGACATGTGGTGGACATTTAGGTAAAAATTGTCAAATATATTTTTTCATGCTATATTTTATTTATAACATGAATTTATTTTTATAAGATTGTGATGATATACAAGAGACACGACATGATGAATTATTCATCTGTGATATACATGTATAAATGTATGCGCAATTAGATTATATTTACAACAATACATAAAGACTGAAACGAAAATTGTCATGATATTTTGCATTGATCGGAAAGAATATATTATCGTGTTATGTTGATTGAGAGTATAAAAATAACTACTTGGCTTGAGAAACAATAATTTTAGTGCAGATGTAGGCTACGTTTCTCTAATCTAAAACGTAAAGAGTAACTCGGGGGAATACACTATATCTAATTTTCAAAGGAAATATCTTTGTAATTATTAATTAAAGAACATAAAACACAAATTGATATTATTGTCATTATATTTATATTTGGTTATAATTAAAGAAGAGTTTATAATCCTCTCTTTTATATAAATTATATTAACAAGAACAACAAAAAAATTTATGAATGTGATATCTCATCCAGTTGTTGGATAAGATGCCACCGCTCCATAATTTTAAAGTATTTCGAGAAAGAATATCACTAATATACTCTGATTGCAGTTTAGTCCAAGTGACAATACAATACAGAATCGTAGGTACTAATTCTTTATCAAAAAACTTAAAAATTATGGAGCGGTGGCATTTTACATGACATGACATATTTTTCTTATTTATACTACATTTTTCCTATTGGAGATTCCTATTAGATCTTATTTTTCCGAAACAAAAAATTAATCTCTACTTTATAAGAGTGCACTCAATTGTTAAAAAAAAAATAACATTTTAAATTATTAATAAAATTTTATTAAATTGTAAGGTAATTCACGACATAATAATACAAACTCTTTTTTGTAATTCTTATTTTTTTTTAAATATTTTATGAATTTTATCCGATAATGTTTTAATTTTTTCCCTTTTTATACAATAATGCAAGACACCACAGTCCTTTAACAAAATTCGATTTTTAATTTTTTAATCAAACTTTTAATCAGAACATTCTGCTAAATCAAAATTGATTTCATGTTGGTTAAATGTCGATATATTTGAATATATGGTAGTTTATCGTGTCGAAACGTTGTATATCATAAATTGTTATTTTACAGTTACATAGAATAAACTTACCCAAATCAATAAAAATATTTAATAAGTTATATATGCAATAATAACTACTATTCGTATGTTGTTGTAACTTGTTGTAACATGTCTTAGCAGGCTGTGTGATGCCAATCAACTTTAAAATGTTCCAGTTGAAAGATCTTTGGTGCTTCTTTAGTTCCAATAATCCAAATTCTTGAGCTCGTTTAAAAGTTCTATCAAAAGCGGGTTGCCTCCTAAACGTTCTATCTCAGCTCTCGCTTTCATGTCCAAGTCTTCAAGTACATTTTTCGTGTATTCGAAAGAGCCAAATTTCTCTAACAATTTAACGCAATGATGTTTCAATTCGATTTCTTTGGTTAGTTGTTTCAGAATATCTGTGTCAGGCATTATTAAGGAAATCTATATATAATAAAGTTCATAAATTATAAAGTTTCTGAAAATGTCTTTTGTATGTGTATGATGTGTGAGGCCGTTTACATTTCTTTAGTAAATAAAGTGTATTAATTAACAAAAATATTTTTGTTGTAAATGAAAAAAAAAGTATTATATAAAAGTATTTTATAAAGGATACATATTATTTGCTTATCATCAGGATTCGTTGTAAGCGCATGAACAATGGGAAAGCTGAACTTTCCTTCACTCAAGTCATCGCAATAACTCTTATTTTCGGTATACTATAACAAAAAATTACTTTAATTCTTTTCAGTTTATTTATGTATTATGTATAATGTCGCAGATATATTATTACTCACGTTATCGCTATACAATATGCCATAATCATCCCGTATTTGAAAGTGCAAACCCAAAATAATACTTAGCGATGATAAATCTTCTTTGTATGTTGAGAATAATGTCATTAATTTTACTATTAAATTAAAGAAACCACCAGCCTCTGCGAAATTAATTGATATTTTAATTTTTTTCATATGTAATTTTTTTAATTTTACGAAGAAATATATATGTAAGTATTAATATTGACTTTTCATTGCCATAGTCTTATAGTCCGCCTCACTTGGACAAATGAGATTATCCCGCCAAAAAATTTCTATTCCTTGACCTCTAAAAACTTCTAACATCTGTTCCATATACACTTTTGTCGCCTGAAAAAAACGCGGTTAGTGCAATAATACAGCACCAGTTATATTTTATCTAACAAGCAAATATGAAGCTAATCTTTTACAATTTTAATGAGTTTTAATGAGCTTTATGTTGTATATATGTATATATTAAAAGATCATAAAACATGTATTTTTAAAGATACATAAAACATGTATTTTTAAGGACATATAAAACATGTATTTTTTAAAATGTTTTTTCCTTTAGTCAAGTTTTAGCAGTAACTCTTACTTTTCCTATACTATAACAAAAAATTAACTAAATTCTGTTCAGTTTATTTAAGTATGTATGATATCATGGACATAATTGAAGGAGTGCATTTGAATTTTGTATCTTTTAAAAATGTTATTTAAGCACTTAGAAAAGAGAATAAAAGATCTCTTATTTTCAACTTTTTTTGTGACTAAAATAATGCATAATGTGACTAAAGTATATTGCTTACTTACTTTTTTTTTATAAGTATTATGTGATTACTTACTGCAGGATGCAAATTAACAATTCTTTCCAATGCGATTAATACTAAATAGGTTGCAGCATTTAGTGAGCTAGCAATTCCATAAACAGAATGAGCGACAGGACTACCTCTTCGCAAAATGGAATTATCTTGGATATCATCAATTCTGTAAAAAAAATTAATAAATTATGATCTTATAAAAATATATATGCAGAATAGCTTTTTTGATATAAATTCAATTTTGTATGTAATGTGAAAACATAAGTATTACATACTGAAATAGAATATTAGTTATGACACATTAATGTTTTGTTTCAATTTTGATAATAACAGCAATAGGCTCAGAGTGAGAACAATTAAGTGGAAAAACTAACAGATAAAAGCCAAGACGCAGGTATCGAACTTATTATTTTTAAATTTTATTAAATAATGTGCATTAAAAATGTAC